GAGATGAACAGCGATCTGAAACAGCAAAAATTTACTGTTCTTACGAAAGAACTTTAGGAAATGTTCGTCTACCACTGTTTAACCAAACGAAACATTTTGCAGGTTTCTGCATTCGCTCAAACTGAACGAAATTTCCCCGCATCTTCAGACAAAGCCTTAGTGTGAATCAAATTAAAGCATGAGAGGTTTATTCGGTTCATTTTGGGAACTCTTGCCCAAAGCTAATGGTTCTTTCAGAGCTATCCAGAGGATCAATAATGCCTTGCTGAGTGATTACATTCTCTTTGCGACCATAAACGTCATTGATTTGTTATTTTAATATAAGGATTAAAGGTTTCCGATGATGGAGGCACCCCTTCTACCTACGAAGAATGAGGAGGGTGTCTGCATCTTTGAGAACGTGCAAGCAACAACCATGCCCATAATTGGCAAGGACAGGTTCTCTTCCTTGGCTGGTTCAGGGATTGTCGTTCCCTTGAGCTGACCGGCCCACTATGGGCTTGTTAATTGTTATTTTAGAGTATTATTAGGCTATCATTGCATTCTTCATATATATATATATATATAGATATATATATATATATATATATAGATATATAGATATATATATATATATATATGTTGTATAAAATCTGTTTTGGAACTTTTACTTTGATTTTATGATATTTTAGAGATTATTCAGTGTTCTCTCTAATCTGAGAGCTGTAGTGACTCTTTCAAGTGGTGAGATTGTATCTTGATAAAGGGTAAGTGGTGGGAACCGCTTTCTATCTCTTCCTACATTTATACAAAGCGCCATCCTCCTTTTCCTTTCCTTACAGCGGACCAGCAGCAGGATCTTAGCTTTCCATCCTGATTTACAAGAATTTCCGGTTATTTCATCTTCTCCCAATTGCTTAAAAATCATTAGAAACATCTTTGCAAAACTATAGATCGGTTTAATTAAGCTTTTTACATCGAGATGTAAAATAGATGCCAAATGTAATAATTTAATATGTATATGAACACTTCATATTAAATGAAATTATTTGTTTTAGAGGTTTCTTAGTAATATTGAAAGACAAAATGTAAAGAACAATAATTATTTAACTTGTTATATTTTTTAGAAAGTATAACAAGCTTAAAATTTTAATTTGGCCGTTTATTCTTGCCTCAGAACTCTCACTGACGCAGGACCTACCCAAGAAAGCCCTCTTTTCCGTGATCCGCTACAGTAACTCACCTATTTTTGCAATATGCTATAGTACCGCGACCAGGCAGGCTCCCGTTTCATGCTTGGACCGAGCCTTTTTCTTCTTTTTTTTTTTTTGGGGGTCTTGTGATGGATTCGTCCGGCCCTCTGGGACCACTCCTCACTATCATCTTATTATACATTTGCTTTAATGATATTCTAGGGTTAGTTTTTTTGTGTGCTTTGTACCAAGACAGCCGCCGACATCTCTCTACTCTTCAATGGTTGTATCTTGATTTCCATGTGGTGTTTATCTTTTCCCAATTCCTCCACATCCCTCCTGCTTCGCTGCCACACATTCTCCAGCACTGCAAACCTCCCGACAGCAGTCCTGTTTTTGTCTCACTGCAGTTCCTCGATGTCCATCCATATTTCTCACTGCTGCAGTCCCAGACGGTCCTCTGGCTGTCCTACAAAAGCACGCCTTCACCGCAGCAGCCACTGCCGCCACCCGGAAACAGCCATTCCGGGGCTGTTTCTGCTGTTCCAGCCCCCCGGCCAGCTAATTGCCTCATTCCAGGTAGCTACCATTGCCACAAAACCTCCCCATTGCTGCTTTTCTGACATCCAAACTTTCCAAACAGCAAAGTAACGCTGTTTGGACCACGTCCCTTGCTGCCCGGCCATTCCAACCACTCATAATCACTTTCACTTCTCTACCGTAGCCCAGAAGGCCCCTTTCCTACCTTTCGGCAACCACACACAATCCTCTAACCTTCACCAACATCACCCGGGAACCACCCTGACATGAGTTAGTAGGTCGGGTGTGTTGTATTTTCCTTTTCAAGTGTTTTGGTTGTAACAATTTATTTTCTTTCAATAATATTAGTTGTTTTCCTGTTGTGGTTTGAGTAAATTCCAGTATCATTTGGTATTAGAGCTAACCTGACCCTAGTCCTATCCTAGAGATTCCTAGCGTCCACCTTACCCCTCCACCAAAAAATTTATTTTCTATTCCCAAATCATAGCCAAAACTTTGATCTAACCCTAATTTTCTTTTGTTGATTTTCAAAATTAGCAATACTAAATCAATTTTTCACCCTCTTTCACCACCCACTCCAAACCCTGGTCATGCCACTAAAGAGATCTAGGCTCGAGCCTACCCAAGAAGAGATACAGTGAGAGATTTGTCGATTTCAATGAAGGCTTGCGGATATTGAAGAAAATCCCCAATGGGGGGAGATTACCCTCGGCCAAGATCTGAAGAATAACATGAAAGCAAGAGAAAAGGATCTGAATCCCTTCTATAAGGACAACCTTAGTCAAGCAAAAGACAGGCCACCATGCTGTGGAATTCATTATCAGAAGAGGCTTAGAGAATAGCAAAAATATGGAGAATGGGATAATCTGGGAACGAAGCGGAAGATCCCGCCCTGGTTTCTACCAGCTTACTATAGACAAAAGATTCGGACTCTAGCTTCTGAAGTGGAGAGACCACATTACTAGACGACCATCACATCTTACAGACAGCGTTCAACCATAGGGTCTTACAACCAGAGTACACTTAGGAGGACATCCAACCTGATCCCTTCAGAGGGAAAACTGAGTCAAAGTTGAGAGTTGGTAGAACCAATCCGCATTCATAAATATGTCCCAGCCTAGAAGTGTTGGATGTGCCACAAATTTGGGCATGTTGAATCAGACTGCACAACTAAGGGGTGATCTGTTTCACTGAGCAGGTCATTTTTGAGAAGGTGGGTAATGACACAGTTGATACTGAAGACGACGAGAACACAAAGAAGGACCAACTTCCCGTTTTTGAGAAGAAGCTGCATATAGACCTAGCTGAGTCCGTGGGAGAGACTCCAACAGATTTCACGATAAGTGCCTAGGGCAATCTTGAGTTTGAGAAACTAACACCAGAGACATGACAAACTTGGATAAGAGAACTTCAGACCACTCAGATCTATAGAGTCATTCCTGAGTTGACCCTACTGAGGGAGGTCCAACACAACAGAAATGGGGTTGTTTTGTGTTATGTTGGGAAAATCACATTGAGTTATTCAGATTTTAGATTGAGTTTAGTAGTGTACCCACCATCAGATGTCCGTGCAGGAGGGAAGAACCACAGCCTTGAAATTTGTCTTAGGAGCTTGATGAGGAAATAATATTTTCAGTAAGGTCCAGCTTTTATCAATGAAGAAGGGATCTCTCTTGAATGGTTACTAGTGAGAATAGTGCAACCAGACACAGAGTTCACACCAGAGTTGATCTCTCCTCTCATATTGGTTTATTACATACATTAAAATGAGTACGAGAGGAAGAAACCAATTTCACATTTAATGGTTCGAGACTTGGTTATTGAGGATATTCATCCACATACAGATCCAGTCATGATTGCGCCAAAATAAGATGGATACCTAATATATCAAAATAAGTTTTGGAATGATAACACCTGCGTAATTGACTTGTCAGAAAATAGTTACATTTCTACAACTTTCAAGGCGACCAACCTGACTACTATGAAGAGAAAGGAGCTTCGACCTTCGACAGATGAGGTCAAAGCTTTCCCAACCTCGGGAAGCTGGCGTGGGAGCTACCTGAGAATGCCTCTTTTCCACATCCCACGACAGTATCGTACTTATTTTCGCAATATGCTACAGTCTGGCTCCCCTTTTAGGTTTTTTTTTTTTTTTATGTTGAGGTAGATTTGGTCGGCCATCCGGGGCCACTCCTCGCTATCCTCTTATTACATATTTGCTTTTATGATAGTCTAGGGTTAGTTTTTCATGTGCATTGTATCGAGACAGTAGCCAACATCTTTTCTTTCCTTTGAGAGTTGTATCTTGGTTTCCAAGTGGTGTTTCAGCTGCATCTTGATCTCCATGTGGTGTTTAGCTATCCCCAACTCCTCCGCTTCCCTTCGTTTAACTGCCTCGCCTTCCCCATCATTCCAGACCACCTGACAACAGTCCTGTTGCTGTTTCCTTGCAGCTCCTCGCCGTCCAGCAATCCTTCTCGCTACTACAGCCCCCGGTCGGTCCTCCTTTAGCTGTCTCGCAGACCCACGCTTTCACCATCGCTGCTGCCGCCAATCTTGCTTGCTGCCACTGAATAGAAACAGCCGTTATGGGCTGTTTTCTGCTGTTCCAGCCACCCGTCCAGCTGTTCCCCTCGTTACAGATAGCTGTCATCGCAGCAACACCTCCCCCCTGCTGCTCTCCGTCTAGCCGCCCCAAACAGCAAACTGCTGCTGTTTTGGACTACCATCCCGCGCTGCCCGGTTATTCAGCCCACCCATAATTGCTGTCGCTCCTCTACCAAAGCATGGAAATCCCCTTCTCTACCTTGTTGCCACTTTACCCAATCCTATAACGGTCACCACCATCAGCCGGGAGCCACCCTAACCTGAATTTTCATGTTTTGCGTGTTTTATTTTTTCTTTCAAGTGTGTTGGTTGCAACTAGTTATTTGTTGTCTATAATATTATTTGTTTTCATATTGTGGTTTGGGTTAACTCCATTATCACTCACTCCTAGACCTGATCATTAAAAAAATTGTTTCCTAAAATATAATCTTGGCTTATAATATGACAATCACATCCTATTGACAACAGTATTAAAGGACAGATCAGATGGTCGAATGCTATCTGGCAGAGCCATCCAAACCAAAGCTGATGCACAGAATTTTAATTTCCTTTAAGAAGGAATAAAAAGGAAGAATATCAATAAAAGTGAAAGAGTTCAACAGGTATGGCGGAATGGGATTCAATGATGAGGCAAAATCGTAACTTATGAAGAATATGAGATGCATCAAGCATGATACTCACTTCATTGATCATTTCGTTTACTTCACCCTCTAGACAATGGTCAGCAACACCTTTAAGAGCAGCAAACATTACCATGTGCTCCTTTACCTGAATGAAGCAAACAAAAAAAGTTACAATCCCGTACTGAAGTTCAACTCAAAAACAAAATGGTTCTTGAACTTAATGAATATAATTTGGACCGTGATAAGAGTTTTGACAAACAAAACTCCATATAGTTGCAGAATATTCATAAATAGAAGGTTCTACGAGTTCTAGTACACCTGCTTGCAATTTGATAATCAAGATACACGTAAAAGAAGGTTTCACTTCATAACGCATTGCTTCATATTTTCTTTTCCAAGAATCCACCTATCATTTTGATCTATGCAGTAAACAGAAACAAGGGAGCCCTACAATACACATGCACAACTCTTCATGATTTTATAACCATGGGCAATACACGAGTGGCTCAACTTAACACTAGTAGCAACTTTACAATGTACAACATAGTGGAAAGAACTACGATACTAAGCTAAAACAGTAGTATTATTAAATGAAACTAACTGTAAAAATGCTTAAGCCAGATAAAGACATGCTCTAAAACTTCTGAATAAAGAGAAATTATTTTGCAGCCTAGTAAAAATAGAAGTGATCATAAATTTGCTTCTAATTTAAAGCTCTCCTGACATAAAAAAAGATAGCATAGTTAACTCAAGCAATTATAAGAGAACAAATATTATTACTGAAAAAGCCAATAGGCAGTTGCTATCAACACAAGGGAATGTAAAAACAATAGACACAACACATGAATAGATTTGGGAGGTGGTTGGTTGGCGGTTTGGAAGGCTAGATGGTGGGCGGCAGCAAGGGGATGATTATGGCAGCAAAGGGAGTGTGAGGAACTGCAGGAACAGCAAGATCAGTTGTTCGATCAGTTGTTCTGGGCAGTGGTAGCAAAGAAGAAGGATTGGACAGCACGAAGGCAGCAAGGGAATGGTTTTGGGTGGCGAGAACAACAGCAAAACAGCCGGGAACGGCCGTTCGGGGAAGCGGCAGCGAGGGGAATGATGGCGAATGAGTGGGACTGCAGGACAACAAAAACAGGGTTGTGAGGTGCAGTAGTGTGGAGGATGGCTGGAGAACCAAGAGCTGCAGGAAGAATAGCAAAACAACTGCCATCAGAGTGGCATGCAACGAAAAGAAATGCATGGCTGTGAGGGATGCAGAGAAGTTGGGAAGAATAAATCATCATTTCGGAACGAGATAAAGCTTGAGCACTACTCGACTCTCGGATGCAGCACTAAAAGGGAACATAGAGACGTTGACGACTGTCCTAAATAGGAAAATAACAAAACTAAAACCTAAACATGATAAAAGTACATAAATAGCACTAGAGTATTTAAAAGTGTCCCCCTCTCAAAAAGAGTTGGTAATCCCATGTAAGGAGGCTAGGTCGGCCCTCAAAATTCAGTTTTAAAACAGTCCAGGTCACTAGGAGATTCCCACGTCAGGTCTAGAAACAGTGACGTGTTCCCTCATCCAGTCCAAGAGCAGCCAAGGTTCCCACTTCCGGTCCAAAAGTAGAGATGCATTACCACTTCCGATCCAGAATCAGTGATGCATTCCCACATATGGTCTTGAAGCAGTGACACCAGCGTCAATCTATTCAGGTTGGGGAGCTTCAACCTCACCGTCAAAGCTTCTGTATCTTCATCGCATGGAATCATACCAGGCATGTTAAAGGAGGCGAAGTTCAATCTCCTGGTAAGTTAATCCTTTAGGTGTTGTCAATCCAGATCTTTTAGCACAACTTAAGCTGGCAATGTAGATAAATAAATATTCTTTGTAATCAAGTCTTGAGCCACTACATCTGTAAACCACTACCATTTCTCGTACTCCGTTGAGCATATCGGATAAAAAGTATATAATGAGAAAAAATCTCTGAGACGAAATATGTGGTAGGCCAAACAACTCTTACTAGCAACCACCCAGAAGAGGTCTAATTTTCTTCTCTGATAAGACCTGGATCTCATTGTAGGATTTTTTTTTCCCACCAAGCTCCTAAGGCAACTTCCAACACTATGATTCATCCCTTCTAACTTGTAACACACAAAATTTGGTAATCAGGTAAAAAATTGAAAAATTTTAAAAGTACCCCAAATTTCGCACCCCTAAGAATTCAACAGAATCATTTTTATAAAATATTATACATGGAAACGAACAATTCCATATAAAACACTATATATTTATTATGATTGGAATGGGAGAAATAAAATCAAGGATTTATAAGTACAATTACCTTAATTAAACTCTAATTATTTCCCTAATCCCTCCCTATTTCCTGCATTACTGTTGCCAATCGACCTTTCCTATACTTGCAAGTGCATGTGTTGGTCTGAAGAGATCGAACTGCTGTGGGGATGTTGGGATTGAGTTAAATGTGAACTTCTATTTACCATCTCTCATCTTCCTCTCCCTGTCTCAGTTTCGCTCAACAGAAGGATCCAGGGGCTCTGTGATTGGGCCACTGTAACCTTTTGTTCCCATACTTACATATCTCATAAAAAAAAACAGAAAAAAAAATCATGTTAATTAAAGTCCATTATGCCTATATTGTAGTGAAGACTTGAGAAAACGAGCTTATAGCAGTTTCATAAAAATTTAACTGAAATTTGTGGTTAAACTTTCACTTATATAATTGAGGAATTAATCAGTTGTTTCGCAGCCAATAATTTTTAAAATAATCTGGAGAGCAAAATACCTAAAAAAATACAACTTAATAGAGATCTTTTGATAAAACATATTCATGCCCATACACACAAATAGTTATACATTCAAGAGTATTGTAGTTGATTTCCTAGTAAACTACATTATTAGGTATTACACACCTTACTTGAGAGCTTGCTTCTTTCAATCTTTCCATTCAAATTAATGTCAGGATGCAACCGCATTGCAAGCAAACTTTCCCGTCTTCTCTATTTTTTTTCCATTTCATTGTAGTCAAAGTGAAATTTTTTACGATGTACTAATTTGATTGCAGTGATAATAATAAATTTTCATTATTGTGAAACAATTATAATCAAACCCACAAAATATTAGTGTGCATCTTTCGTAGTAGAGGGGGTTTCAAATGCATGATGCACCTCAGGTTTGTATTTATGAGCTATATAAAATAATAATACTGGCTACTACAAGAAAGTGCTCAATTTTGTGGTCATAAATTTGGGAGAATCTTGTAAGAGTGTAATCATGATGACAAAAGAAAAACATTATGCACAAGGCAAACAAAAAAAATAAACATGTCACAGAAAACCTATTAACACATGAACTTGAAAATTACCCTTCCAATGCAAAAATATGCTCTGTTACCTCCAAGATATAAGTCATAAGAAAACCTAAAGTATGACCGTTTAAAAGAAGGATGGCAACTCAAGAATATTGTGCAAAATAAGGTTTGTACCGTCAGCTCTGGAAATAATATGTCATGTTGAGGACATACTCCCAAGGCCTTCCGAATATCATCCTGCATTTCAAAAAAATTAAAAAGTAAAAGTTAAAGCTTGGATACGAAATTGTAAGTCAACTTGTACGAATCTAGAACTTCAGCAGAGAGGGAATTAGAAGAACAACATTTAGATTTAACAGAGCATATAAAGCATCTGCTCTACGCCCGTTCATGAGCATTCGAATAAATTGTTTATAATGCTTGAGGATATATTAATTTCGCTGCATTTTAGTTTAATCTTAAAATACCAAAAAAAAAAAAATCATAAATGTGATGAGAAATTTTCTCCATATAATGATGCCCATTTTTTGCATATTCTAAAAATGATCAAAATTTTCTTTTTCAATTACATTATCCACTAATTAGTTTCGATCATTTTAATAAATATAAATAAATAACTTTATTAGCTATTATAAATGAATTTCTTAGTAAATTTATTTCATTTCATTGACTTAACTATGCATTTATCTAATTGTTGTCATAGCAAACGATGGCATATAGTGTTCATGTGAAGCAGTGTAATGCAATGAAGCCTCATTTCGCCTTGTGCTCGTGTGAAACACACAGCACAAAACAAAAATAACATCAAAATAACTATCTCGTCAGTTTTGAATTTAACTGTTTGGGACAGCCTTCTATCCACTTTGCGTTTCAGACCGCCACCACATTTATGCTTAGGGAATCGTTTTCTTGTTGCTTTATAAAAAATTGTGTTAGAAAATAGTTCTTTTTTCAACCTAACATGTTAAAGTATGTTCGCTATAAGAAGATTGCATTATGATTTTTTGGAGAAAAACATTTATTAATAATTCTTACAACAATTTTCTACAATATTTTCTCCACCACGACTTTTTAACCACTATTAAAAAAGGCTGCAGCCACCCCAAACGCACCTGAAAATATCCTTGATTATTTTTTTTTAATTAACAGATGTATTAAAACGGCTTTAAATGATTCTCAAGTTAGTAGCCTCGTGTTCAATTGCGACTCGCACGACTGAGACGAAAAGTATCGATGCAACAACCACAACATGCCTAAGACCTTGAAGTCCGTCGACGCAACAATTGAATGTATATGCATGCATGCATGCATGTATCTATATATCTATTTGTGTGTTTTGCTCTTGTTTAGGAGAAGATTTTGATTGTTTTGATTTCAGATTGTGGCCTCTAATGTGTTTTCCCCTTCTGAATGTCATCCAATGGCGAGAATGTGCTCAGGTTGAACTGGTTCAAGGTGGTGATTATCTCTGCCTATTCCTTCCCTTGTTGTTATCGCTAACCACGCCAACTTCTTCCCCAATAGTGTTTGACGCTTCCAGCAGCTGATCTATTGCCACCAGCCTCACCGCACCGTCCCTACCACTGTCTGAAGCCTCATGCACAAGCACGACAGCTGCCATCTTTTGTTGAGTCCTTCCAGCCACAGTCTAGGCCTCCCGGCCCATTCCCCTGCAGCCGACCATACCTTATGGCAATCGTACAGGCCACTTGACCCCCCCTTTCCCCGTTGTCCTTCTTCCAACAACCGCCCGCTTCTATTGCTTCGTTCGGCACTACCATCGCCAGCTGCACTTCGCATTCCAGCAGCATCCCGCAGTTGTTGTTGCCTCCGATATCGTAGCCACCTATTGTCCTTCATCTTCCGCCGACGCCGCACCGACGACTCACTCTAGTATCGTAGCTACATGTTGCCCCTCTCCTTCCAGCGATCGTCAGATCCTCCTACAATCTAGCCACTAGTCCTCTAGCCGCCCACCCGCTGCAACCTCTTACAATCACAGGCCAACACCCACCACGCCGCCAACACCAGGGATATCCCTTTCAGGCCTTAGCAGAAAATTACTAATCACATCTTCATTGTTGTTAGTCATGTTTGTGCCCCTAAATAACTTTTCCTTAATATTATTTGTTTTTGTCATTGTGGTTTCCGTTAACTCCGGTATCAACGCTTTCTAAGTGTGGCAGGAAGGTCTCAGTTTTCCGATGCAGCCGCCCAAAAGGGGACGACGCCAATAGATTGTCAAAATGCTACCAAATTTTTATTGGAATCCAATCATAAAAGAGCAACTAAATTGAAATCAAGTGAACCAAAATGCAATCAAAATATAAGCTCCCAAGCTACATATTTAAGACTAAAATGATAAAATAAATTATCTTAAATGACGGAATTAAATATAAATAGAACTTGAACGACTCACGGGAGACTTCATGATTCATCAACAAGGTCGAATGAAACTTGGGTGGATTGGTCCGCCTGAACACTTAAACGGGAGCAAAGTACGGGAGAGAAGCAAAATCCCAAATATACAATCAAAATATAGAACGTCATCATCGCCACGGGATCCGTAACCCCAAATACACAAGTGGATAGAAGATGAAACTAAAAGCATATATGAAAATATTTGCACAAATTCTAATGATAATACGCCCGTGCAAATAATAATAAAGTTCCTCTAAAAGCTAGTTCAAGCTAACAAGTTTAAATACTCGCACGTGCTTCGGCCACCATGTTAGATGCTCAAGATCCAAGAATGTTGGGTAAGTTACACAAATGCATAAACTAAAACCAAATATGCTCTAAAATGTGTGCAAAACTAAATAAATCAACTCAAACCAACAAATTAAAACACCCGCATGTGCTCCGACAATAACCTTGAGCTCTTAACCATAATAGTATGAGAATGTCGTGCGAGTTAAACACATGCTCAAGTTAAAAGTAAATTTATCTTTTAAGTGATGTACATGAACCAAAGTTTTACAAAACTAACTTTCGAAGGAACATGATCCTCTGTAAGAATGGAGTCGACAGAGTTCCGAAGCATCAAACACATGTGACCGTATTGATAGTAAATCTCAACCTAAGGGGACAATTTTCAAATTCAAATTCAAAATCGTTTTTAAATCTCAAATAATAATGTAAATCAAGAACATGATCCTCTGTGAGTGGGGCAGAGTCGACATGGTTCACAAATAACCATTCTCCAATGATGGTCGTGTTGATAGTAAATCTTAACCGGAAGAGTCTATTCTCAAGGACTATTTTTAGAACTCAAATAATAATATAAATCATGAACTTGAACCTCTACGAGCCGAATAGAGTCAACAGGGTTCAAAGATAATCAAAATCCCCGATGATGACCGTGTTGAATGTGAATTTCAACCGAATAGGTTTATTTGTAAAATTAAGATTTTAAAATATAGAATTAAAATTGAAAATTTTAAATGAAAATCAGTTACGTCGTCCGCCAGCTGCAACCATTTGTCGAGGTGAACAAATTTAATACTGACTCAAGCTCAAAAAATACCAATATCATATCAAGCACACGACTAAATTCATGCTTAAAATAATCTTATGTCAGTAAGTACATAGCCCAAGCCCCCTGTCGGTGAGGTTTTGACGCCCACCAAATGGCACCACAAAAAAATAGTTATGATCAAAGCCCTCTGATCAGGTGGTTTATCACCAAATGACACCATTATATTAAAGTCACATTGTAGCCCATATATTCCTCAATCGTAGCCTGGCATTTTGAGAATTGAATCACAGGATATATTTGATAAGCCACAAAGCCCTTTGTTAGCTAAGGTGGCATTAAATTAGTCCACTTAGACAAACATTCATTTCAGACATATAAGATTCCCTCGAAAGAAACAATCCATGGTCACTAACAAGAATCATTCTATCAAGTTGGGTCGACCACCTCCTCTGACTAAATAGACCAGTGTCCACAACAACCCGGAATGATGGAACTATGAGATTTTGATCGGTTTCGTCATCATTTCCCTACCATCCGCTTTGAGCTCACTATGATAATTTCTTATAATTTTTTAAAAATTCAAAATTTGCTGCTCTATATGCTAAGTTCAAATGTTTACACCTAATGACTAGCCTTAATCGAAAGTGTTCTACCATTATCAAAAGAAGTAATTAACCATTTGAGCTTATGCCTATGGGAAACTTCAAACCCTATACCATAAAGTTCTCTCAAAATAATGGTAAAATCTCTGGGTAGTACCTTATCTACTATCTCATCTTTCTTCCACAAATTTAACTCGGAGCATAACACAATCAAGCTCTCGATGAGAGTCTGCGGTGCATTTCGAATTATCGGAGCCTACAAAAATGTACAAGTATACCCTAAAAAACATAATGGATGATACCTTGATCACTCCTGGCAAAGGAAAAACACTTCAGAGTTTGCTATCTAGATCCGCTCCAAGAACCAGAGAAAGAGGCAGGTCTGAACTGCCTCGTTCATAGACACTTGTTTTTGCATGTTTGCTTTTTTTGAGTTTTGTATCTTTTTGTTGGAATATCTTTGTACCATGAATCATATGAGTAGGGCATCATATTTTGTGCCCTTTCATACAACTTTTTGTATCTTTTTTATTTCAATATAATTAGCCCCAGGGCTTCCATAATATATATATATTTCATGAAAACATGCTAGCATCCAGTTTCATGACCTTCAATAACTAATAATGTAATTACGTTTTAAATCATCATCTATAAGCAGAAAAGGAATTCTAAAATAAAATTTCAGGCCACAAAATACAAAGTGTAAAAAGTCAACTAAGACTTACCATGCTGGTTGTAATATTCTTGCCAAAAACAAGCGCATCACCAGATGTAGGTGGAATAAGACCGACCAGCATAGAAATGGTTGTGCTTTTCCCAGCTCCATTGTGACCTAAACAATTAAGATAAGGATATCAGAAACCAGAAAATAGATTCTTAACATTAAGCAGCTGATTAATCCTAAATAACCTAAATGCATGAGAGAGAGAGAATAGTATTTTATGGAAACAATAGCAGGTTTCTGTTACAAGTAAAAATATTAAATTTTTTTTAAGCAATGCTTCTAAGTCTTCCTCAGATAATTTTCTGGAAGAATGTGAAGTACTGCGGATGGTTAATAACAACAGCACAAAAAATTTCTAAACTATTTTACATCTCTGACCCACCATTTTCACGTTTACAAATTCCATATGTATGGCACAAAATTACACATAGATTATTGTTACAGTTATTGCGTTTATTTTGATCCTTTCCAGATATTCTCTTGTTTATGTATTCCCTAGTTTATGGCTTTCTTATTATCTCTAGATAGTTTTTAAGAATTAATTTAATCCTAGAGACTTGGGTGTTATGTCTTCGTCAAGACCCGGCTCAGTGCTTAAAATTAATTATAGTGGGTACAACGTTTAGACAGTATTAACATCTAAGTAACTATCAACAAAATGTTTCAGTAACTTCCAATATATAAAAGAGTCACTAATCCACAAAATGCAATGTATTCTAAATCATTCAGAAAAAAATAACATCTCAATCCAGAACAGAACAATAAATCAAAAACCGATAGAAAAAGTAAAGAAAACTAACATCAAGAAAATATCTAGCAACAGTGGTCCTCCACTAGTAAACAAAGTCTCTCCTATCAGACATATCAACCTAAAGTCTTTCTTTTCCTTCCTTAACTAAGACACGATAGTTTCAATTTCTTTCTCGATACATCTCGGTTAATCATTCAATGATATTGAATGAGAAGATGTTCGAAGGGATAAACAATATGTTTCGACAAAGGGGTGTGTCTCCTCAAACCGATTGAATCTTTTATTTATTTATTTATTTATTTATTTATTTATTTATTTATTTATTTATTTATTTATTTATTTATTTATTTATTTATTTATTTATTTATTTATTTATTTATTATAATTATTATTATTACTATTATTATTATTATTATTATTCTTGTTATTACAATTTATCCTTATAAAAATTTTGGCCTCGAAATTTGAAAATAAACATGAAAGTAAACATACCTCAATTAAAAAGCTGAGGATATTTTTCTTGCGTCTCAAAGACATTTTCTCAAGTAGCAACATTTTCCGACCCGTGCTTCCATAAAATCTTCACAAAAGAGATTTCTATGTTCCGCGGTTTCTTCACATCATAATCCAGAATCTTTTCAGGCTCCTCAATATAAGTCAAATCACGATAAATGTCAACTATCTGCTATAACCCTAATGGCTTCATCTGTAATAGACTTCTCAGTGCAGAAATATGGTAAACATTATTCACTCCGTGCATAAGAGTTGGTAAAGCCAATCTGTAAGCCACCTTGTCAATCTTTTTCACAATCTCAAATGAGCTAACAAATTTGGGGCTCAATTTTCCTGCCTTCCCAAAACATTGCATGCCCTTCAAAGGACTGATTTTTACGAAAAAAAAACTCTCCAACTACAAACTCAACAGGTTTGTGTTTGGCATCATTGTATTTCTTCCGTCTTTCCAGCATTTCCCTCAATCTATATCTAATCAGTCTAAGCTTTTCAGTAGCATCATCAGCCAAATCAGCTCCAATAAACTTTCTTTCACCTGTTTTAGCCCAACATAGAGGTGTCCTGCACTTCCTTCCATACAAGGCTTCATATGGAAACATCCCAATGCTAGCGTGGTAACAGTTATTATATGAAAACTCTACTAAAGATATATATGATTCCCAACCTTCGCCACATTACAACCACACAACCACAATGACATTGATATAAAGTAATGATGGAAGAGAAGGTGGATGGGACCTTAGGGGTTAATAGTAAACTTCACTAGTTTCAACACTTTCACCAATTAGCTTCCTTATATTGTGGAGGAGGGAAAAGACACTAATGATGTTCTCTGAACTTTTTAAGCCTTGCATTCAAACATTGGGTGAAAGAGGTAGGAATAAACAATTAAAGTAATACTGGAGAATGACCAAAATAACAATGACAATTATATTGAATAATGCTGGAAGAGAAGGTGGATGAGACCTCAAGGAGTAATAGTAGATTTCCTCTGCTTAAATACTTTCACCAATTATCTTCCTCATATTGAGATCTTCAAACACACATTTATAAGAATAGATAATTATCGAGAACTTTTGAGCTCAATTAACATACCAAAATTTTGGAAACATATTATGCATATAGAAGAACCACATCGCAGCACAACACCCCAACCCACATCACAACACGAAACAGAGCCACCACCCCAACCTACAATCAACTACCACCACAACCACCACACAACCCACAGCACAAGCTAGATCAACCACAAATCCACAACACTCCAACCCACACACAGCACAGCCACATAACTACCACAACACAACCAACCACTAAAACCCAAAGTCACCCCACCACAACTACATATGTTCTGAATTCACACAACCACCACAACCCGCAGCAGAGCAAACATAGCCCACAGCAGAATCACCACAACCGAAAACCACAATACCACAAGCACAACCACTTCAACAATCCACCACCCAAACCAGCAACAATCCACCACCCCCAACAAACAAACATCACCAAATCCACAGTAAAGGGCATCACCTAGATAAAGAAAATCCAACTCCAAAGCAAAATCACAAATGGAACATCCAATCGAAAATCAATCAAAAACCAGCAAGAGAACAATCAAACAAAACCTATCAAGCGAACAACCAATCGCAAAATCATGATGTCAGAGACAAGTTGGAAGAGAATATCGCAGGTCGAATGAGAGAAAAGTATCCAAGCAAATATGACACGGATCACGGAACAGAGAGGACTAGGCAATCAAGGAGGGAGAAGCTCGATGTGATCGTGAGAGAAGTGAGGGAGAAACTCGGTCGCGAGAGAGGGCTCGAATTAGGGTAGTACAAAAGCATGACAGCATATATTAGGAAACATGGGTCAAGGGGTATGACCTCGCGGCCCGCGTTCCGCTGAAATTATACAAAACAGATTCAAAATGCGTCATCAAAACAAAAAAAAAGTGCGGCTTGGGGTCACACTGCGCGAGATAAGAGACCCCAAACGCGCCCTTAATTAGACGATCGATACTTACACATATGGCATCACAATCCTAACAAGATCTAGGCAAACCAACCGAAAAATTCCAACCTAATCTCCTATTTTTACTCTGGAATCGACAAAGTTGCAACTAACCTCTAAGAAGTTGATGCTCTGCCTTCACTAGCTGACATGAAGGACACTTGGCCACAAATTCTGCCACACTTCTCTTCAACCCTAGCCACAAAAATGTTTATTTAACTTCTTGATATATTTTACTGCTCCATGGGTGAATAGCATATCCGGATAGATGTGCTTCATTTAGAATTTCCTTCCTCGGATCATCAACATCTGGAACATAAACCTAACTTTATACCTCAATACACCATCATCATCTATCATATATCTCCTCAAATTGCCTACATGAACCTGTTCCAGAACATTCTGAATATTGTTATTTCTGGCTAAAGAATCTTCAATTCTGTCATTTAGAGTTGGCTCAACCGACAACTGATATAACTGAGTGATATTATCATCACCATAATAAAATATGGTCAGCCTGAGCTTCTATAGATCTTCAATTAACTGCTCCTGTTGAGTAAACAAATAGTTCAAATAACTTGAAGTTTTTCTACTTAGTGCATCTGCCACCACATCAGCTTTCCCTAAATGATACTGAATATCTAAATCATAATATTTGCAAATTCCAGCCATCTCCTATGCCTGAGGTTCAACTATTTCTGAGCGAAGGTATATTTGAAACTCTGGTAGCTAATGAAAATTTCACTTCTAACTTCATACAACGAATGCCCCCAAATCTTGAGTGCAAATACAACTGCAACAAGCTCCAAGTCTAGAATAGTTCTTTGCATGATTCTGTAATTGTCGTGAAGCATAAGCAATGACCCTACCATACCGAATAAGCACACATCCCAAACCTCTCAAAGATGCATTGTTGAAATCTGAAACCCATCAAAGCCAGAAAAAATGGCCAAAGCTAGCGTAGACATTAAACAAGTCTTCAACTTCTGAAAAGCCTCCTCACAACGATCAGATTAATTAAACTTTACCGCCTTCTGAGTCAACATTGACAGTGGCATAGCAATCTGTGAAGACCCCTCAACAATCTCTCGTAATAACCAGTCAAACCTAGAAAACTCTTGACTGTAGTAGTTGTAGCAGGTTTTGGCCAATTTGCCATCGCCTTAACTTCAATTTGACCAATAAATATGCGGTCTCCACTGATAATGTGCCCAAGAAAAGCCAAAATTTTAAGCCAAAATTCACAATTAAAAAATTTGGCATAAAGTGTATTATCCTTCAAAAGATGTAGCACGGCATGTAAATGATATGCATAACTAACTTCATCCCTTAAGTACACCAAGATATCATCGATAAAGGCGATCAAAAAAGTATCCAGAAACTGTCTGAATATCCTATTCATCAGGTCCATGAAAATTGTTGGGGCATTTGTCAATTCAAACGGCTTCACCACAAATTCATAGTGCTCATATCTATTCCTGAAAGTAGTTTTCTTCTTTAATCCTCGGTTGGTGATAACCTAACCTCAAATCAATCTTTGAAAATACTGAAGTCGCTTCCAACTAATCAAACAAATCGTCAATCCTCGATAGTGGATATTTACTTTGAACAGTGAGTTTATTCAACTCTTTATAGCCAATACATATTTGGAAGTTAAATAACAAAGGAGCTCCCCAATAGGAGGTGCTAGGTCTGATAAACCCCTTATCAAGTAACTCATGTAGTTGGCACTTCAGCTCTTGCAACTCCTTAACTGCCACTCTATATGGCGCCCTTAATAAAAGCTCAAAAATTGGCAGGAGCTCAATATTGAAATCAATCTCTCGCACAG